CACCACCCCGAAACCAAAGTTTCTCAGCAGATTCGGGCTGTACTCAGCAAGGGCAGTACAGACCCGAAGTCAGAACAAAAAACAAATCAGAGTTAGACTGTTTTCTGAGCCGTCGGCTACCGCCGACCGGTCGGCCCCGATCGGTCGGTACAATACGGTCGGCGGGGATGCAACCCTGGCCAAGACAATAAAAGAGAACCCAGATGACTGGTCCAGCATGAAAGCACCGCTACGCTCGCCGAAGTAGACCGAACAACAGGACCAAACCAACCGGGATGCAGACAAGGTTACCAAAACAAATTCTACCATATCCATAGTAAAAAACGGAACCATACAGTAGGTCCGCAAAACGACATACCCCATAAATGGGGAAGAATAAAGCAAAAAAAGGAGAAATGGCAGCAAGAGAATTGGGAAAATATTTTCTACCATAACCGAAGAAGAGCCTATATATATAGTCAAACAGAGCTGCCCGGTAAACCGTAGGCAGAGAGGGAGAAGAGGATAACAAACGAGGGGCTGTGGCAAACTGTTTCGTCGGAGTTTCACCGACTCATCAGGAGGCTGAATCCTATATATATATATATATATATATATAGTCAAATAGAACTGCCCGGTAAACCGTAGGCAGAGAGGGAGAAGAGGACAACAAACGAGGGGCTGTGACAAACTGTTTCGTCGGAGTTTCACCGACTCATCAGGAGGCTGAACCCTCAACAGTCTGCAGAATCCCCTCATATATATATATACACACTCATATATATCGTCACAAACATATATACATAATATATATATACAGCAAAGGTAAAACCTCCTTCCCTGGTGTAATTACGATGCTCTGGCTGTAGGTCGGGGGGATCAGCGAGACTAGCGAGATCAACATCAAGCTGCAGGGCAATTGCAAGGAAATCTGATGGTGTATACAACGGCCGATTGAGAACGCGAAGGCAGCTATTAGTTGCAGTCAGACCACAGAGATTGGCGGGGATCTCAGGCTGATTTTGTTGGTCAGTCATTTGTAGATCACCCGTGGGGTCTGCGCAGGGTGGTGCACAAGTATGCGGTTCATCCATATGATCCTGGTCAACCATTTGCAAATCCCTCGTGGGGTCTACGCCATGTGGGATTAAATGCAGTCCAAGCAGATCATGTTCCAGTCCCTCAGCGTTCGGGGCCACACAGGGTAGATCACCCGTGGGGTCTGCGCAGGGTGGTGCACAAGTATGCGGTTCATCCATATGATCCTGGTCAACCATTTGCAAATCCCTCGTGGGGTCTACGCCATGTGGGATTAAATGCAGTCCAAGCAGATCATGTTCCAGTCCCTCAGCGTTCGGGACCACACAGGGTGGGGGACTATGCCTTGCGGGGTTAAATGCAGTCCGAGCTGATCATGTCCCAGGCCCTCAGCGTTCGGGGCCACATCGTGAGTAGGGACTGTCGTTGGGAGTGTACTCTGGGCAGGGACCATATCCTGTTGCACAGCTGGGGAACAAACGAACATGGAAGGGCATAAAACATGGTGCTGTGGCTGTGTGCAAGCAGTTGGACTGTCTGCAGGAGGCATAGGAGCAGATGTATCCGTTGGGACAACGGAACCGCAACAACCCGTGAAGGAGGCACAAAGAGAATTGGAGTAGACAAAGAAGCAGGCCGCTGATCCCTRGCCAAGTGGCGATGTTGTGCATGTCGTCGACGATGATACACAATAAGAGGAGTGGCGATGTTTCTAACAGAAGATGTCACTGGCAATGAAGGCGGAACAATGGGAAGAATAGAAACCGVAGAATMSGTTYTCAAACGAGACCGTGGAGGAGATGGGGGTGGCGAGGAGGAACGCAGCCGTCTGCGGCCAAGCACAGAAAGGGATGAAAGGGGGGTGGATTCGGCAAGATGTCGGAACATAGGACGCGAGTGTCGGGCTGGGGTAGAGGAAGCTATACCAGTAAAAACTATAGCATGAGAAATTCGAGGTACAGTAGCACAGGAAGTGGTAAAAAGTGGAACCGCAGCAGAGACAACTGTTGTAGTAGGAACCGCAGCAGAGGCAACTTCCGTAGCAGGGACCGCAGCGGAGGCAACTTCCGTAGCAGAAACTGCTGGAGTGAAACCCGGAGTTGAAACAGCAGCAGTAGAAACTTCAGCCGTGGAGACCACAGCGGCAGCAGCAGTCGAAACTGCAGCAGTGGACACCACAGCGGTGGAAGCGGCAGCGGTGGGAACCGCAACAGTGGGAACTGCATTAGCATCAGATGAACAAGCAGTGACAGGACGCGCAGCGGAGGCAACTTCCGTAGCAGAAACTGCTGGAGTGAAACCCGGAGTTGAAACAGCAGCAGTAGAAACTGCAGCAGTGGAGACCACAGCAGTGGAAGTGGCGGCGGTGGGAACCGCAACAGTGGGAACTGCATTAGCAACAAATGAACAAGCAGTGACAGGACGAGCGCGATGTGGGGATAAAGAAGAAAGTGGGTGATGCAAGGACCATCGCAGCATGCGTCGGAACCACTGAGAGAGACGGGTGACGTGTGTAGGATAGCGACGTTGGCGGGAGCGTGTGTAGCAGGTCCATCC